ATTTAATAAGTTATGAGTTTCACGCCTAATGCTTTCTTTATCGCACAGAACACGAGCTAAGTAGGGTATGGTTGAGTTGAATTTTTGCACTTGCTATTGCTAAGATTTTGGTTTGACCACTCTTAACCTTTTTCCAGCCTAATCCTATACCAGCTAACAATGACTGTGGAGGAAGATGGCGGATATTTCAGCAGATGTAGCTTTACAACGACATCAACCGATTCCCTTTCCTTGTGCAGCTAACTGTCTTTGAGTCTAAACTCTATGTTATTCAGCATATTACACGAATGAAAATGAGGGATAGAAGACAAACATTTGTGGTCAAAAATAGATAGTTTCAAATGATATCACATCCGAAATATAACGAGACCTTGTTATTTATGTTAGTTTGGATATCTGCAGATGTAGCGAATTGGATTAGGCAGTCACTCGACTTACAGTCACTTTTTGTCACGGTTTCAAGTCGCGCCCTACCTACCTCAGCCTGAGGGACTACTTGGCAGTATCTCTAGCCCTCAGAGAATAAAAATAGGTGTGATTTACAGCTTGGCATTTGATAAATCTGTTCTGGGCAACCTAATCTTTAAATTCAATATCTGTTATAGCACAAAAGATGAAGTATTATTTACCAGATAACAAATCCAAGTGAGATTTATAGGTCATAATCATACTGAAATCATTACACAACTTTTAATTTGTGTATTAACTCAGCGACTAGAAGCAAAGCCCTCTTCGTCTTTGTAAATGAAGTCATTTAGGTTAGGCTACCTTGTCAAACTAACAAAGAAGGGAAACTTGGGACTCTGCAAGAACTGACTGGCATGGAATCATGCTCATGTCCAACTTAAATAGAATACTAAGTCGCATCATCCTGGAGAGGATAAAAGATGCACTGGATGCAGAACTCCGCCAGCCCCACCGGAACAAGCTGGATTTAGGAAAGGTAAACCATGTGCTGATCAAATTTCAACTCCACACAAAGCATAGAATAGCAGTCAAACCTAGATCTGCCTTAACTTCATCGACTTTGAAAAGGCCTTCAATAGACAGAGTTGACCAAGAAGTAATTTGTAAACAAATTCAACACTACGGCGTACATCAAGTCTTTATCAACCTTATTCAACAGTTATATGACAGTGGCACGCGTCAGGTGATCCACAACGGAAAATTTATCGAAGCCTTTGTAATGAATACAGGAGTTAGACAAGGCCACTGTCTATTATCACCGGTGATATTCTTAGTTGGGGTGGACTGGATTATACCTCAGACTGTGCTTGGGAGTGAGAACACAGAAATACGTTGGACCACCGATAAGAAGACTCTGTCTGTTTTCGACATAGAACTTTGCACATATGTACGACAGTTTAAGTCGCCACACTTCCTCCATGCACCACACGAAGCAAGAGAAGAAAGTAGAAGAAATGCATAAAAGAGACAGTAAACAGAGGTGTGAGACAAAGGAATAGTAATAACGAAGAATAATATAGTTTCATTGGAAATCATAAGTCACAAAGAGTGGATGCATTTGTGCCAGCCATTGAGAATGACTTTCAGCCAAATCACCAATTGTTTCCAACCACTGGTTTTTACAGTCCCGACGACACCAACCAGGAAGTCTGCACTTTCCTACGTGGCTCAAACTAACTGTTGTAGGTTCCATTGACTGATGAGGCCATGTTTTCGTTCGACCACCGCTAGCTCTTTTCCAGCCTGACCCTATGTCAGCTAACATTCCCTGTCGAGGAAGGCGATGACTAGGCACCCGTAACATATGTTCTAACCATCTCAAGATCTGGATTTCGCGCGTGGATGATTTATGTTTAATGTCACACGCACAAACTCGAAGATCCACAATCGAAAACCAACAAACTGGAAGAGAAGATAGGCAGAGAAGACAGTACTTCAAGTGAACATAAAGAAGATGAAGGTGGTAAAGATAACCAATCAACAACAACAACAACCAGCACCAACTACCATCTACGGGAGAGATTTGAAAGAGGCTACTATCTCCACTTATCTTACTTGGCAGCATCGTTTCAACTACACCCAGTTGGCAAGTGTGAGAATGTCAAAACCAGAGTCGGAAACGCAAGTCAAACCTTCATTAACCTGAAGTCGGTTTGGAAATCTCCTGCATTAACTCAGCATAAACAACAAGATTCAGATTTTCAACACATACGTCAAAGCAGTCACTGCTTCACAATATGAGTCGGAAACTTGCAGTGCGCATCACGAACAACATTTCTAACAGACTGCTGCAGACTTTCCTGAACACCTACCCTCGTTCCATATCGAAGATGAAATGGCTGTCCAGAAAGATTTGGCAACAAGAAACTCTGGAAACCAACCAATCAAGAACCTATTACCTAACAAATATGCAGCTGAAAATGAGGATACGTTGGGTACAAGCTGAGGGGACTGTTAGGTGACGTCGCGCGCCAGATCATCGCTCGAATGGAATCCAAATGTGAAACGATCAGTGGGGCATCGGTCTACGGGTGACATGGAGGAAATCGTGTTGGGAGGAGATGAGAGACTATGAGTAATCGTGGGGCCATCCTAAGGGGTCCGCAGAAAATAGGGCAAAATGGAGATGTGCTATCGAAGTCTTATGTTCCACTCGGAACCCAAGGGAACAATAATAATAGTAAGTAATAAAAACGAAAAATAGTTGACTGACTTTGTAGAACAATGCATTGCGTCTAGTAGCATATTACGACAGGCATTTCCAGCTGTCTGCGCTCGATGCTGAAGATCAGATGGTCGACTAAAAAAGATAAACTACGAGCAACCCTGTCACACAACCCACCAGGGACTTATCGCCCAACAAAATGCAAAAGAAGTTAACATCCCTTTGGAAGACAGATAAGGGGCATCATACTCTAGGCAAACCAACCCTCAAGTGGAACCCGAATGAGAAATAATCAGTCGGGTATGGGTGACATCGAGGAGGTCGTGTGGAAAGGAAGAAATAAAAGTGTATGGGCAGTCGTGGAGTAAGCCAAAAAATACTGCAGAGAACAGAGCGGCATGGAGACATGTTGCTGAAGGAAGCCCCATGTTCCACTAGGAACTCGAAGAAATAAATAATAATAGTGAAATATACATATTAGGATTTCATGTTCGTTGATACACACCAATAAGATATACAATGTAACTAGAATAATAACTGAATGCATATACTCAATGATTCAGACTTGTATTATTCAATGTAAAAGCTGCAAGTATGTTGTTAAAGACAAGCTGATTGAGTACAACAACAACTATACATGATAGGATGAGTGAAGCGCTTTTTTTTAGTAAAATACGTTCTAAAATACCAAATATAAAGGCAGGAGAAAAAGAAATAGAAGTGTGCAGGAGAGAGAATAACGGAGATTTAATCAACAGTGAATACATCCGCGCTATCGAGAATGATTTCGATCTATGTCATTTACAGTCTCCAGCTATTGATTGACAGTGCCTTGAAGGTCCCATTCAAATAGCCTGAACCTTCCCCTACTCTATTCAGACCGATAGTCAAATACTTAACTGACAGAATTCAGTCTACACCAAACAAAAGACTAGTCAAACATAACATCAGTTAATTCGTGTTCAACCAAAGTATCCAATGCAGTCCTATAGGAGGTCAATTGCGAGGCCGAATAGCTCTGTGCTAATATTGTCTCTGACTTCAGTACTGCGTAAGGCAGGATTGAATCTTAGAAGGGAGGTGAGTTCCTTCAAGGCTGCAGATACACACCTTGCTGACTAGTGAGTGCCAACTAGCACGAAACCTAAGTTCAGGACTTCCTGCCGATTACCTCCAACCATGTATTTATACATTCACTGATAAGTCATGTTCTTCCAGCTTTTTATAAATACTATCTCAATTATTGACAAAACCGCAACTGCCGACCAACTGGATAAGCTGTGTTCCCTTAAAATCTACCACTTCTGTAGAAGAAATACGCAAACAAAACGTGGAGAAAACTGATTCTGAAGTATTACGCAATTATGACTGACCAACTGGCCTCAACATAGAACTCTGTACAGATGTACAGCAGTTCCACTTGCCACACTCCCTCCAAGTAGTACTCAAAGCAGGAGAAGAGAGTAAAGAGAGATAATAAACAGAAGTGTGAGTAAAGGAAAAAGCGGAGTTAGTAATATGGGAGAACAACATAGTTCTATTGGATATCATAAATCACAAAGGGTGAATGCATCTTTGCCAGCCATTTAGAACAATTTGCAGCCATATCATGGATAATTGTCCCCAGCCATCATTGGCTCTTACCATCCCGAGGATCCCAACCAGTCAAAAAGTCTACACCTCCCTATGTAGCTGGCTGACTTTAACAAACTTTTATCGATCTGATTGACTGATGAATCCATGTTTTGGTTTCACCACCAATAGCTAACTCTTTTCCAACCTGATCAATCCTATGTCAGTTAAAATTGCCGGTCGTCGAGGAAAGCGGTGGCTAGGCCACGCATGCGTAACACATATTCTAACCATCTCTCTCACTCGATTTAACTTCACAACCTCGTCGATTGATTTCCCCACCTTACCCAGTACCATTCGACGTCTAACCTCAATATTACTCACCCTATTATTCGACTACACACGGAGGATCGAACGCATATACCCATGACCAAAGATAACTAGCCAGTCTTTTCATGTCTTCCACTTTCAATGGCCATCATGTCTCACAGTCATGAAGGAAGACGGGGAGGACTGCTGTGCAGTACACAAGTCCTTTGGTCGACGGCTAGCTGGATATCACGTCTCCTAAGCCAGAGATGGCGTGAGTTGGCGTATACCAAACAAGCCTTCTGTATCCGTGCTGAGATTTCTTCAGTAATTCACTAGTAGTAATAACAAAGGCTACTAATACACTACCCAATTTTTGGGGATAATGTTTCACATTGCCAAATAGGAATAAGGAAGAAAGAATTAGTTCAACAGATGGAAAAGCATATAATATATTCATACAGCGAAATATATAAAAATGAATTACCTGCATAGATTGGATATTGTCTATCAGTTAAATTATCCCATAAATATGTTGGTGCCAATACATACAAAGGACTAGCGCCTATTCCAGCTAATAACATTGCAACACAAAATGTTGGAAAAAGCATAGATCGAACAATATCATAACTGTCTAAATCACTGTTATTATCATTTTGCATATCCAACGTATTAGTAGACGTTAATGATACCGGACGAATAATACTACCATCCATAATAATCGTCTGATTAATCGATGAAGTTTGCATAGCGATATGCGGCGAAGCAGTAACTTTCCGTCTACTATCAATACATATCGGTCCATCAATTCCATCTTCTGAATCTTGATTAGTATGAAGAGGATAACGATGAGAAGCAGGAGATGAGTGGGACAGATTGCTTTCAACACTATCAATACTATAATTATTAATATCACTATTGAAAACAGTTTCATCAATAGACGATATACTTGGTCTGTAAGGACCAGCCAGAAAATGCGGTAGGGCGAACAATCCAAAACCAAGAGAGAGAATTAAAGTTGCCAAGCCAATAACACGTAAACGATTATGTTTTTGTCCGTTGATAAAACTAACGACAACTGTAGTGACTACACCAGCTACTTCATAACAACTAATCATATAACCAATTTGTCGGCTAGTTAAGTTGAATCTTCTCTCCAATGTGGTAAACATACTACTCATCAGACCGGATACTACCATAGTTTGCATAAACATGGTTAAACATAATCCAATGAGTACAACACAAGGATTAGCACATGATTGTAAGCAAGTGAATAAACAAGCCCCACCATCACCATCATTAACAACAACATTAGCGTCATCATCAATACTATCAACATCACTTGTGCATATCGTTGTTTGATGAGTTTTCGTATCGCCTATACACATAATGGAATTATCGATTGGATCATTTGTTGACAAATGAGGAGGAGGAGAAGGAGGCTTTAAACAAGGATAAGCTTCTGGTTTTACGTCTGGTATATATGATGCATCTGGAACTGCATGATGATTTTGAGCCGATAAAACTGGCTCCTGGTCAACAGAAGTCTCCCAATTACATGATGGTCTTTCAGCTAGCTGATCAAGAGTAAGTGGTTTTGTGACAACACGAAAATTCCATCCAGATGTAGGATCACTTATATTACGTGTATGACCTAGTATACGTCGTTGATAATAGGTTGGAGCAGCAGCCGGATAATCATTGAAATGATTGTAAACATTGGAATTTGGTATACGATTAATTGTATTCTGAATATCAGGATGTCGACTATAACCGACTGCAGTAGCTGTTGAAAAATTTCGACGATGTTGACGTTTAAATTGTGGTTTATCAAAGCTTTGCCCAGCAGCAGCTGATGATGAAGTTCGTCTAACTAAACCAGGATGTAGACAAGTGGATATAAAATTCACTACATTTGTATCCCAGTCAATTGGACAGCTGGTATCACACAGCTCATCTCCACCAGCATATCCAGGTGATGGTCTTGATGGAGCTCTTGATAAATGAGGTGTAGGCATTTTCAGTGGTTAACAGTGTAATTGTTAAACACCATTCCCAAACACTTATTTTCAATGTCTATACGATGAAGAGTTTCTTAATCCTTTGCAAGACCTGAACGAAAACAAAAAGAAGTTAAAAAGAACCATATAAGGCTTCGTAGAATCCTACAGAAAACATTAATATTGTCATTAAGACTATCTGAAGGTTTGTAGACATTTTAGCAATATTAAGGTTAGACGTTGAGTGCTAGGTAAAGAGAGGAAATCAAAAGACGAGGCTGTGAAATTACATCGATCGAAATGGTTAGGATATGTGTTATGCATGGCTAGCCATCGCCTTCCTCAACGGACAATGCTATCTGACACCGGGGTCAGGTTGGAAAACAGCTAGTAGTGGTTAAACCAAAACATGGCTTCATCAGTCAATGAAATCCACAACAGTTAGTTTAGGCTGGCCACGTGGGAAGGTGTAGACGTCCTGACTGGTTGGGTTCCTCGAGACGGCAAACACCAATGAAACCTGGAGACAGTTATCGGTGATACGGCTCAAAATTGTTCTCTGTGATGGCGCAGATGCATCCACTTCTTGTGGCTTAAACACCCAATAAAACTATATTGTTCTTCAATATTACTATTATCTTTGCCTCATATCTCTGTTTACTATCTCTATTTTGCGTTTCTTTTTACTTTTTTCTCTGGCTTTGTGTGCTGAGTGAAGTGTGGCGACTCGAACTACTGCACATCTGTGCAAAGTTTTATGTTGAAACCAGACAGACAGACAGCATTATCAATAAAAGCATACAATTTTTCAAGTAAACAACGCTAAACAAGTAATAATGATTTATTTAGGGTTGATTTTTAAATCAAAAATCACTCGACCTTGTGATCAATACGGGTGAAATGAGATTTCTGATTGACAGTATTCATGTATTGTCGTCTCATCATTAGGAATGAGTGTGCGTTATGTTAGCGGGCAAATGAATCACTAATTTCTTATTTTATCTCTTATCATCTATTAAACAATCAAAATAATCTGGATGAAAATGATTTACCTAAATATGTACAACTAGTGTCAAGAATAAAACAGAAAACAGTAAGCAAAAGTGACGAAAGCAACTGTCTATCGATAGTAGACCTGGTTCGATTTCTCTTAAAACTTACTCCAGTATGTAAAACACCAATCTGCAAAACCAGTGTTACTCTAAATAACTTAAGAACTAACATGACTCTAAAGACGACTATGTGGTTGATGTCTTTCAAAAGGAATACTATTTCGCCTTTGTCTTTACAATCATATAAAAAGGTAGTGGAGAAGTTAAAGTATCATAGCCAAAGTTAAGGTCTTCCAAAAGTAGACCTTCGAGAGCCAATTAGATATACAGATTGCTGTGGAAGGTCATTCCTAACCAAATTATGCCTGCCTTTCTTGACTTATAGAAGGTAGATACTGTATTCTACTTACTTCTTAGGTACTTTTTCTGTAAATCTATACTGTTAGGTAGGGTTATGACTTTTAGATTAAGGTTTAGGGTGTAGGGTTAAGCATTTGGGTTAAAGTTAGGATTACGCTTAGGGTTAAAAGTCGGTTAAAGAATATCGATAGATCTCAAAGTACCATGACTTACAGTCACCTGGATGAACGTATCTATCACGTATGATATGATTTCTCTATAGATCATCTTTGTAATGACTTTGAGACAGTCTTACAACATATAAGCGACAACTATATAGTGCAGTATGATGCTTCTAATTATTTTTGGTGCATTTTTCACAGATTTGCTCATGAACTCTGATTGACAGTTAGAGGTCACTTCCATTTTGGTTATGATATTACAACTTCGGATAAAGATGGGTAAAGTTACACCTTACTGGACCAACGCAATTATTCATTGCAATAAGTCAAGATTCAAACTCAGTCTCCAATCGTTACTCTATGTCCCAACATTTAAAGAATGGCTTATAGCATAAAATATGAAGTTAGAACAAATCAGTTTAGAAAGCATTCTTCATTTTTGGGTGCCAAATAGTAAGACGTAAGCACAAACTATTGTTCTTCACATTTTTAATGGATTAAGATAAACAGCAACATGCACTCTTTTGTGATTACCAAAAAATAAAGACATGCTTTTAAAAGCTTCTGAGTAAAAAAAAAAATATCCTTAGTATAAAATATTAAGAGAGACAAATGCATTCCCTCCGCCTCCCCCTCTAACTAGAATCGCTGATAAATAAGCTTTTAACGGCAACATCTGGAAAACCAATGGTTTCCAGTCACTGCTCTTAATCATTGGGGGAATACGATTTTAGTAGTGGGAAATAGTGGAACGTTACGTTTTTTGCTAGCTGGACGATATTTCAAAGGTATATCACCCCGGAACAGGAAACTGTATACGCAGTAGGAATAGGCAAATGTGTTGCTACTTAAGTTAAAGAAATCATACCACAAAAGTCTTGATATTTTTTTCAAGAAATGATGCTCTTTTAAAACATCACATTGATGCAGAACAACGTAGGTACTTCTTAATAACTCTAACTTTTGGCTGTCTTAAAATAATTCCCCTACTCTTAAAACAGAATTTTTCCAAGATAAAAGTTAAAATAAAATGGAACACGCTAGAATAAACAACCAACATTATAGAAACCAGAAAAAATACAAAGCTTACGATGAGATTAAATTATCGCCTTTAAGTACTGTGTAACCAAATTAGTCGAAATAAACAATGGGTATGTTTAAGTTATACAACTTCACTCAAATCATGATAATTAGGCCAAAACCTTGACATTCTGCATCCTAAAAAGTTAAAGGACGTTTAATAGTTTAATTAGCATATAACTTCTAATAGGGCAGTAAGGTCCAATATCCTGATTACGAGCTAGTATAAACCAGTGATTTCTTTGAGCTCGCTTCTTGATTGTGAGGTAGAGGTTCCAGGTCTTCGGTGAGCTTCTGCGTAGTAAGTCCCGCCACCCGACTGCTTTAGCTTTGGTAGATTCCAAGAGGTGTGGTGCGGGGATTGGTCAAGATGTGGTTTGTAGTATGCAGTATGTTAGGACTGTATTGCTGCCGTGAATGGAGTTTGACCTAACTCCCGTTCGTCATTCGGTGTAGTCATAAAAGCATAATAGTAATAATAATAATTGGTTGTAGTGTAGATAATATAGGTTGAGATAAGTGGAATAATAAGGTAAGTCCAGTGGCCCTGATGAACTCCACCCACGTATATTAACAGCATTGGCTGAAAGCATAGCCGAGCCATTGTCGGTAATCTTCAATATGTCTCTGGACCAGTCTAAATGTCCAAGAGACTGGAAAGATGCCATCATTAGTCCGGTCTTCAAAACCGGATCTAGAAACTTAGTTCAGAACTATCGTCCTGTTAGTTTGACCAGTATTGTTGTTAAACTACTAGAAAGAATAATTCGTGATGCTATCATTCAGTTCATTGAAGGGAACAAACTTTTCGCTGTGGAACAGCACGGTTTTAGAGCAGGTCATTCTTGCTTGACCAACCTTCTTTTGGCCAGAGAAAGTTGGGCAAGCTCAGCTGATGCTAATATACCGGTGGATGCCATATTCATAGACCTTAGCAAGGCGTTTGACAGGGTTTCTCATTCAGGTCTTCTAGAAAGTTAGGTAGTCTGGGAATCAATAAAGTGGTTACCGACTGGATTCAAGACTTTCTAAAGGACAGAAGACAAAGAGTACGAGTTAACGGGGTTTTATCAACATGGGAATCGGTTAAGAGTGGCGTTCCTCAGGGTACAATTCTAGGCCCACTTCTTTTCCTGATTTATGTTAATGAGATTCCATCGGTAGTTAAGTCATCCTGCTTACTGTTTGCTGATGACATCAAGATATGGAGGGCTTTGCACGATGACAGTGATCAACTTGCTTTGCAGGAAGATTTAAACTTGTTAAGTGATTGGTGTAAGCACTGGGCCTTGGAGATTAACTTAAGCAAGAGTGTAGTTATGCATGTATCCCATAGTCACGTGCACAATTACTCAATGAATGGCATTACTCTCCCAGTGGTCACTGAGTACAAGGACTTGGGAGTGGTTGTGCAGCATGACTTGAAAACAGCAACAAACTGTAGAACTGCAGCCACTAAGGGTTTTCGAATGTTATGGGCCATACGCAAGGCTTTTGCGAACTTTGACGCTGATATATTTCGTATATTATATCCGACTTATATCAGACCTCATTTGGAATATGGGATCCAGGCAGCGAGCCCGTGTTTCAAATACGAAATTGACTTATTAGAAAGGGTGCAAAGAGTAGGAACTAAGCTAATAAAGGGTTTCTCAACCCTGTCATATGAGGAGAGGTTAAGTCGACTGGGTTTATTTCCACTGTCATACAGACGACTTAGGGGTGACCTAATACTAGCATACCGTATCCTAAGAAATGATTTTGGAGCTAATTTATCTAAATTATTTCTTCCTTCTAGCACCAACCAATTGCGAGGACATCACCTCAAGGTTCAAAAACCACGGTCGAATCGTCTGCGTCTGGAAATCCGTTTTTCGCATCGAATTGTGAACCATTGGAACTCCCTACCGGAATATGTCGTATCAGCGCCATCCGTTGATTCATTCAAGGCGAGATTGGACCTCCTGTATGAAATAAATCGAAAGGATTAACACAGGCATATAGCCTACTATCCTAAATAAATTGTAAACTGTAAACTGTAAATAGAGGTGACCTAAGGAAAAGATAGAGTGAGAGAAGGCAGAATAGGTCGTGGGGATTTAGTTTGTACGCTTATCAATTGACAGTGTGGTTTTAAGTTTTATGAGGATAAGCCATTGAGACACAAACCTTGCATTTCTGCATGATTGTCTAGCTTTCGCTTAAAAATCTCCAGAGATGCCGCCGTAGTCACGGCCGCCGGTAAAGCGTTCCAGAGACGGCAAACACGAAGCGAAATTAATGTGATCGCACTCGAGTCTTTGGTCTCTGGTGTGCTATCCTTAGCAGGGTTACCTCGTGGAAGCCTATAATCACTTAATGGCAGGATGCTTTTATTTGGGTGGGCCTGGTCATTTAAGATCTGGTAGACGGTGATGAGGTCTCCCCTGTGCCTTCGGTAACTAAGTGTGAAAAGATCTAATTTCTTTAGTCGTCCCACAAAACTCAATTGCGAGAGGTCTTGAAATTGAAATATCTGTTTGTGTCGACATGTCATTCACATCTTTACGTCCTACAGCTTGATAAGAATGCCATGTCAACGTCTGAATCCGAGGCTCAGAGAAAAGTAACATACAATAATTTACAGTGACGAAGCAGAAAGCTGGCTCCTGGAAAACCTCACAGAAGTGTATAAATTACAACAGCCAAATGCCATAATTCAATAACTATGGCTTGTCAAGGGGCAAACATACGTCTAATAGACTCTTCGCCTGCAATAACGTCAATGAATATCCATCTGCGCTGTGATCTAAACCACCACTTTAGAACACAAGATTTGTCTGTTCCTACCTGAAGTCAAATAAGCTCGGTCGTTACTTAAATTCTGAGAAATTTCCCAGTACTCTGAATATCTCAGGGTGCAGAAAAGCTGCTAATAATCCTATAGGAAGTAACTGCACTACACACTTAGAATTATGCCATTATATCATTACCCTCCAGACTTATAAGGTTTCTACATTTTCAGCTAGACCAAAGTACATATTATGTGTGAATTTTAGAGAACGTTACTCACTTCTCATTTTCGAAACAGCCTTTAAATTAACCAAAATTTCTAGGTGGACCAGGATATTAAATCGAATACTTCAATATCTGTTTCAATCCAAAATTCTGTATCTAGATATTTAAGACTGTGTAATGGTTGCTAGCTTATTTTCGTTAACATTTACATGATTATCAACTGTCTTCTAGTAAGTTTCCAGGACTTATGTCAAGGTTGCTAGCTGAGGAAGAGCGCCTGAGACGACATTTTCGGCGAGCCCATGGAATCGTAAAGTCTGGAGATTGAGGATCTGAGTGAAATATGTTCCACTATTTTTCGATATGCTGCCCGTTTGTTCCCATAAACTGGTACTGACTAGTTCATCAGCTGCCAGTAAGCATAGTTGCCGGCAAATAGTGCCTAGAATTGATTCGGAGCAAGGTTTAACTCCCAAATTGTTAATGCATGATGACTCGGTTTAAGACTGTCATTGACACATTGAGAGGGTCATTGTTGGGAAAACTATTTTGAGTTAACGGTAGGCAGTTGGGTCTGCTGTTGGGAATTTAGTGAACAACGAGTAAACTCTATGGCCAAGAGGATGCTTTGGAAAATCATTAAATCTCCAGTTATGAAAAAAGGAGTAAATAAAAAACAACAATGACGAACCCTGTAGTGTTAATGAAAATACATGTCAGTACACTGCATTTTCACTGAGTTATTTCATTTCTGATTTATATTGTCGATCCGCTCTATAGCTCATCCCCACAATGGACGTTTCCTGTTTGACCGTGGTGTTAGCCACAGATACTGTCTTTTTCGTTCCGTTGTAGTGGAAATTACAATGAAGATGCTGAACACGAAGGTGTGTTAAGTGAGACTGATAAGAGTTCAGACCTGTAAAATCCTTGCTGGCCAGTCAGATAACTGACAATTTTCAGATGATTTTTTCTGACCAACATCACTTATAGTCTGTGATAATTCTCAAGCGACTTATCCTTCCGTTGACATACCTCCTTTTTATGCTTCCCTACCACCAAAAATGTATTCTTTTTGTCTAGACGGCTTCATAACACCAATACCCATCTCATCACCATCACCTTCGCCTAATTTTTAGGTTTTACACCATTGTGGCCTCCGTTTTGTGACACTATATATTGGTCTTAACTGTTCTGCACTAAGGCTAGGCTGCATTGAATCGAAGTTTTCAGCACTTAATACATTGTGTAGTATTCAAGGATAATTGTAGAAATAAACAGGGCTGCTACTCTTCAGTGAGTTCCAAAGAAACTGAAATTCTCGGAGCCTTTGTTGATGCTTTACGATATTTGGTGCTAATTGTGCAGTTTTTTACCTTAACATCGCCCCAGTTTAATATCACCTTGTACTCTGATATAAACCTCATATAGGGAGGGATTGCACTTTGTACCACCACCATCAGTAGTATCCACGTCCTCACATCAGTTGTTTAGTAGAATATCACGTCACGCGTCACGTTTTCACGATTACCCCTTGTGGTATCAAACATTTCACTGTGGCTCAGATGGACTCTGTCTCCAGAGAAAACTTGGGTGAAACGAATCTGGTCTACACTAACTCGTCAAAACGTAAACTACTCATGTACGATGAACACCTAGTAGATCGAGTATTCGTAAGGAAATTTATCCTCAGCAGCTTCAGCAAAATCTGTGAACCATCCTGTGAAGGGCACACAGACCAAAAGCAGTGTAGAGTGGACTATGCAGTTGGGAAACGATGGCGAATTGGGGTAATCTCGTTGGCTCTATCAATCTGAATCGGGATTGAAAGTGAACGGTCAGAACAAATTCGAAAACATGAAACGGAATTTGCAAGGTACTGATGTCATTCAATTTCATCAAATGATTTTCGCCTCTGAAGTATCTCGTTATTGGGATACTCCATTGAATAGCAGCTATTGGTGAAAGCGTTGCCTTGTGAACAAGCTTCATCGGTTGTCACTCAAATGCGGCCTCAGCGTCTCAGACCACCTCAACAATCACTGATGGAGTTCCAGAAGA